GTCCAAACTTTCTGTGTACTGTATATGTTATTGATAATGTTCTTATTTGGGAGCATTGCCAGGTTTATGTGCTGCGTTTGATTTTCTGTGGAAAAATTTAGACATTTTTTTCAACTTGTTCACAGAGTTTTTGGTTAGTCAGGGTGTTCAATAAAAGAAAAAAGAAAAATAAATTATTTGAAGCTCAAAGTTACTTTTTAATATTTTATTTCAAAATATGTATCAAGGCAGAATGTATTAGGTTTTTAAACAAATTAAACAAATGACATCTACTACAAGATCACAGCTGTTTCTCAAGATGTTGTATGCATTATAGTTAGTTTTATATAAAGTGCCTTCATGCAGAGGAAAGAAGGAATTACCAATGTTTCCACAAAAGGTTCCACTTCCCTATTTTTTCAATGAAAGAGATGCAAAAAATTCAATCATGAAAAATCAAAAATAGATTTTCCACATTTATCTTGAGTTGTACTGTATGTGAGCATGGGGATGTGATTCTAGGTCAAAAGTTTTATAATCCAATTATACAGTATACTGTACTTCAAAAAAGGCTCAAGTTTACTTCAGTTTCTACCCATTTCTTGTGGCACTGAGTGAGTTGGCTCAAAATTGGGGGTTTTTGTCAACAACATCTTGAAGGGAGATTTGTACCAGGGAAATTTGAGGCACTGTGTAAGGGTTGCATTAAATTAAGGGGCACTAAATCAAGGGTTGACTTTATTTCTCAAGTCATGACAGAAAGCTGACAAAAGTCATGTTCAAACAATCTTGTTAATGCAAACTTTCTGATTGCAGTGTAGCAAACTTATTTGTAGAACATTTAGTGGATATGCCAGTAATTTCCTGAAAATAATGCAGGAAGGCACATTCTGAATTTTCAGATCCCAAATGTGACTGACTTGCTCTTGTAGCTTGGATGAAAGCTGTAAAAAATGAAAAACATGCTTCCAACAGTAGTTCCACACGTCAATCTGCCATAATGAAGAGATTGGTGCATGATTATGAAGCTATTTTTTGTTTGGGAAGTAATTAAGTTCTTCATCTAATAATAAACATTTTGAGAATACTGAACCAGAAAAGCAAGATCTACTTGATTCAAGGTTTGTCTGATGTGAAAATTCCTTCTGGTCATTAATCATCATAATTCCATTTTAAAGATTACGGTATTCAGTAGAAAAAAACTTTTTCTGAAGTCCTCAAAAATTGGTTGATACCATAAGATTTTATGGCATCTATTTTAGGGTATCAATTTTATTTGCGTGTAAGTTGGAAATGTGGGAAAATGAACGTTTCTTGCCATGTAGGGACACAAATATGCAAATGTCCAAACTTTCTGTGTACTGTATATGTTATTGATAATGTTCTTATTTGGGAGCATTGCCAGGTTTATGTGCTGCGTTTGATTTTCTGTGGAAAAATTTAGACATTTTTTTCAAAATTTTGTGTCCATCATGACATTCATGAGCACTGGAAAAAGAAAAAAGATCTGATTTTTGAATCAAGGCATAAGTTATGAGGAAAAGTGCATACATGTATTTTGTTCAATCTTCCAGCAGAAAATTTTGGCTGAAAGGATATTGCGCTAGGATGCATTTTCCTGCATTCCTTTAGAATAATTAATATTGGAGATTTCAAAAACAATATGATTTTCTCTTCCCAGATTTTCCCCAACTTATGTCTGTGCAACCCAGGGGCATTTTCATTACCTTTTGTTAAAAGAAAATTTGCCTGTGTGTAGTGTGTGGAAGAATCCCAAGTTTCTGCAGAATGGAAAGCAACCCACCACCATTCAAAGGTTGAAGGGTTGGCATCTCTATCTTATTGTTGAAGTTAAAAGTCATGCCATTCACCAATCCAGTGATGCAAAGTGGGCAACTTCTGGTTTTGACTTCTTGAATACAGTCAACCCTTGCTTAACATTTTTAGTTGGTGCAGTGGGAAAAAACGTTAGCTGAAAAAACGTTAAGTGAGGTAGTCTCTCCCTTAAGATATAAGGGAGAAACGTTTAATTGGTGTCAGGCAAAATTTTCTAGAGGTAAAATTCAGAAAAAATTAAGGAAAGAGTGTATTCCAACAACTGAGCTTTATGCACTGCCATTACATTCAAAAAGTAACCACAGTTCTTCACTCAATTGAAATCAGAGATTCATTTTAAACAAGGAAAGGTCTAAGTGTTACCCAAAATTCAGAGTGCGACACTGCAATCGTTCATAAAATAATTTCAACACCACACCACCACACAGGAAGCACATTTAAAGCTGTGGAAAAAGTTACATTCAAGAAAATGTACAGGAGGGAGGGAGGGAGGCGTCCACATAGATCACCCAGTGCCACACAACTGCAGAACGTTAAGCAAATTTCAGAACGTTAAGCAAGGGGATTTTTCTCACATGACCAGGAACGTTAAGCAAAAAAATGTTCAGCAAACAGAACATTAACCAAGGGTTGACTGTATCAGGAAAGCTTTGTACACTTGAAAACCTAATTGAATGAATGAATGAACAGAAAACTTTATTTGCCGCTTTTCAGCGTTCACAAGGCACAACCAAAACTCCCACAGCCAAACCCCCTCCCCACCCAACTCAACTCCCCCCAAGACATTCAATCACTTCATATCATGAAACAAAGCACAAACCAATGACAAAAACAGAAGAGAACACACTCCACAAAATAAAATAAAACTGGACATCCTACACATATGCTGCATACATCCACCTATCCCCAATATTGAAGAAAAAGCAGCAGTAAAAGTTTATTTAAAGCACGAGGTCTTCAGCCTGTTTCTGTATGAGTTTTAGTTCAATGAACAATTTAGAGAGAATCTTTGAAGAGAAATCATATAAGGCCAAAAATGTATCTTGATCCTTTAAGATTTCAGAAAGTGTCTCCTCATTGAATTTCAGTAATTTTAAATCTTTCTTAAGCTGATTTCTATCCATTTGCAATGCTGGACATAAGAAAAGAAGGTGCTCTGGTGATGCACAAACTAATGTATTTATGCTGCAGGAGTTACACCACTTAGAAACCTTTGAGAATTGGATGAATTTTTTACTAAAGTGCCATGAATTTGTTAAAATAGCTACCGCATCATGTATTAAAGGGATGTTAGATGATGCAAATAGTAATGGTTTAGTATTGCCCGAAGCAAGAACAGCTAGTAATGTACTTGAGTCTACAACATCACAATTTAATTTTGGCGCTAAGGAAAGTTTAATTGCTATGAAACTTTTATCTTACAAATGAACCAACAGCAAAATTTTTATGGCAGTCTTGAGAAAAATTTTGAAGGCATGGGAACCAAATCTACCATGTACCTAGAAATACAAAATTGACCCAGGAAGATACTGTGATGTTATGCTGATTAATGCTGGTGTACGTGACAATCACAAAAATGTCACCAAGGTTGCCCCAGGGCTTGGGTAAATTTTAACAAATATTTGATCAGTTCTGTGCATAAAATACGTTTACAATAAAATGTGTCATGCTAATCTCATTATAATGAATAATCACTTGCAATTGCAACTAAGTTATTTTGAAGGACCCTGTCTGATAGCCATAATGTTACATGAGTTATTTACATTATTTGCAACAAAGCTATTTTTAATGCTGGTCCTGATTGCATTGTAAAAGTACTGAATAGTAGGATTTATATTTTGGTTGACCTTGATTCATTTCTCTTTGAAAATCTCTGTTGTGCATCAGCCATTATCCAGCAAGGAAAGCTGTCATCAAATCAAGTTGCAAATTCTTTCATTAAATTCTTAGCAGTTACAGAATTAGCAACGTGTCAACATTATTATTTTTTAGTAGAGCTGTATAAAATATATGGAGATAATTAATAGGGCAATATAGCATCATGATGATATGTTCCAAATTGTATTTATCCAGATCCCTGAATGAGCACTCCCAAAATGTATGCAGCTTACTATAACACTGTGCGTGATATTTCAACCTTTATTTTGATCTGCACAGGGTAAGCTCCCTCAAAAATTCGTGTTTTTGTTTGCACACTTGGACGATGAGGAAAATATTTTCTTGAAACACATCAGAAGGCTTGAAATATGATTCTAAGGTCTTGCAGCGCAATATCTGAAGAATTTGAAAAGTTTGGTGACTAAGTCACACATGAGCTGAAGTAAAGTATCTCTATAGTCTATACTGTACATAAGGTGGGCATCACTGACGCTGTACGTACCAATATACACTACTGTACTGCATGTATAAAGAGGAAGTCGCATGTGTCGGTCGAGGGCTGCATGCTGCAATTCTGACATTTAGCGACATCTAGCATGAAAAGTACGACAGAATTGCTAGGTCAAACATCCCACTCAGAATGATGCGAATTATTTTACACGTTCTGGGGCATCTGAGAAAAATGTTCAGCTCATTCCGCCGTCAGCTTGTGGACAAGGAGCGTCGACGAGCACGCGTGTCCGCGATGTCGTGTGACGAATGACTTGAGCGTGTCTTGATTTTGAAAGTTGAAGTCTGCTCCAGAATGCACTCGTGAAATATCAGTCGCATAACTTTGAGTCATCTAAGGCTTTGCTTCAAGTGGATAACTTTTTCAGTTTTGTTGTTTCTTACGTCGTTACTCAATTTTGGTCACTTTTATGTTCCTGTAGGAGATGCGATTTCATAAGCTCTTCAGTTGGGGCACAAATCGTGATGACATCGAAGACTACTGATTCCATCGGTGGATGTAAACTGTTTCGGGTAATTTAATTTATACAGGATCCATTCCGGTACGGTGCAGAAACCGTATTACAGTGACCTTTACAGAGAGTCTCGAGAGAGTTTGTACTTAATTCAATCAAGACTAAAGAAAGCTCCCATTTAGACTTACACTTGTGGAAGAGCACGCGGGCTGCCGTATTTTCCGCGACAGATCTGATTTTCTCAAGGATCATTAATTGTCTTGTAGTCTGGTATTCAGTGCGAAAATCAGAGGCTGCCCATTCTGTCAAGTGAAACATTCGTCATACGACCTTCGTTGTGATGTTTTTGTGCTCCTTCAAAAGGAAACATGTAGTGTTCTTGGTGCTATGATCGACATTTATGAGCGTCTGTAATTCGCGATTAGCTAGGAAATCTCTGTGAACGATGAACGTAACTTAGCGGAATCCGTGGTCCAGAAATGGACGTCAGCAAGGAGGTCGAGCTTGATGAGGCGCAGGTTGTGCGCTGGCTAGACGCACACCCGGATGTGCTTTGCAGATATCTTCTGGAAGCAGCTCCTAGCCGAGCGCTGGACGCAGCTCTTCCTGCCTCCACAGTCAGTAGCACACTGCTTAGGAACCCCGTTCGCGAAGAAAACAAGAGAACTACCAGCAGCAAGAAGCGAATAGCAGAGGAAGAAGAGCTTGAAAAGGACGACGGCGAGGAAGAACGACGAAGACAGAACTGTGAACGTTGCTTTGGTCTCTGTCTCACGGACATTCCTGCCTTGTCTGACTTCGATCTAATGACTATCCGCGATTCAGAACTACATCCTCCGATTGCTCGACCGGAATTGTTTGTTGAGTCTCCGGAATCTCCACCGAGGCGTGCAAGGTACGTCGGAAGCTGATGATTTTATCGTGAATTTTCCGCTTCCGTGATCTTCTGCGCTTTATTCAGGTTTTCCTGGAATTCCTTGCAATTTTAATGTTTGACTGGAAGTGTTGAGCTGAGAAGATCCTTTCGGGTTAGATTCTATGAATCGTTCATGAATTTTCCTTACACTCAAAAATGAAATCGGTGTGTGCCCAGTTTTAGCGTTTTAAGTAAACCCTCTTATTTATTATTAGTTTTTCATGTGATTTCAGCATCGCTAACGCGAACATTTCCAACTGAAGACCAGTTTGAATTAGTTGAATATTTCCAAATCTCGACTACTGAATTTATAAAAGTTTCCGAAGTACCGTATTTGGTAATAGTTGAACTACTTTTAATTTTGTGAAGCGTGTGACTTCGGAAGATTCGAACGTTATTCCGTCACTTGGTTGAGATGGTAATTCGACTGTCTTCTCTGCGTGTAAATCATGTTGAGAAAAAGTTCAAGATGAGGTCGAAAATGGTAGTGTCATGTCTCAAAAGTTGGTCTGTTTCTTTCTTCTTTCTTTTTGAGGGATTCAATTTGGTGGTTACGAGATTTTTGAACTGCAATTGTCTTGATGGACATCAAATTATGTCTTACGTCTTGATTTTACTAATCAGCTACCGTAGGTTAGTAGGGTTTCAGGAGTTTTTAGCGTGAGACCAAGTGAAAAACCGTTCAATTAGCATTCCGGGAGTCGCATTTTCTGATGTGTGCCGAATTATTTGCCAGGTTCCACAGTGTTTGCGCAGAAATGGAGGCATGTTCGAGTGGCAGAACTAGGTTTGCAGCCGGATCGTGTTGCGGCTCTGGACGGCGCCGATTGAGTATGAAAGAGTTACGGAAATGTGCGTCATTGCCGCCGTCGACTTCGCAACTCTTGAGTTTGCTCATGGAGTCCCGAGTTCAGGTGCCGACGTGTCACAGCCCGGACGCCGCCGCCAAACGTCGGCTCAAGCGTCGTTCACCTACTCACTGCTTCTTGGAGTTGGTACGTATGTGTGTGTGTATGAAGTTGTGTGCGAGAAAAAGGAGTGCACCTTTCCAAAGTTGGGGCCAGTTTTCCAAAGAGAGAAAAATTACAGGATATTGTGATTGGCGATATTCTAGGCATTGAATTGCTCATCAAATGATTTTACAGGGTGCAGAACTTGGAGGCAAGGGTTCCTTTGCCGAGTTTGCCCAATTATTTTTTCATTTCCTTTCGAAAAAAATTAAGTTACATTTTCATTGCTCTTCTCTTTTTTTTTATGACAATAAAGTAATAGCCGAAAAGCCTCCACAAAATTCGAGTTATGGAGGTTTGGGGAAGAAAAGTCTCCCTAGTTAGAAAGATTTTTAGCATCGCGTTTTAGGGAATTCAGATAGGGACTTGAAAAATAATTTGATATAGGGAGGTTCAACTGTATTGACTCCTTTGGCGACTTTCTGCTTTTTGTGCCTCCGAATTTGATGTTGTTGTCGAATTGTTTATATTCCTGTTCTTCGTTCATAATTTTAATGTTTTTCACTCCGATGTGAGACGCCATCTCTTTTTCTGTACCTGAGGAACGAAAGCTTGCTATTCTGAGATGCACTTTTATTGCGTTTTATATCGTTGCATAGAATGTTTCCTGAATCGAGTGAGCTTCTGATGAAAAATCATGATTCTGCCTCTAGTGGTCTTGAGTCGGAAATCTCGAAAAGGATTTGTTGAATTAAATCATTCGACTGGTTTTAGTCAGAATATTTTTTTGGTTGCAGTTTAAAATGATGCACCTCATCTAGACACTCCATTGGTTCAAAGAAAATTCTGTGCTAGAAAAATTCGAGTGAACACTAAGCTTAATCATTTGTGGGGTTTTCGTTTGTGATACTGTCCCCATCGGTCGTTGATAATTTGTGCGCTTTTTTGCTTTGTTTCGTGTTATCAACGCTGAAAGTTTCTAATTGGAAATCGGTGAAGGAATGCTGTCTTTTGAGCCTTGGTCTTTTCATGACGTAAAATTTTTGAAGGTGCGTGACATTTCAACTGAGCTGAGTGTGGAGACGCTTTGCGCCCGTGTCAGCATCAACGTTGGTGTTTTGGCGGAAAGTGAGCCGGCGACTGTTTTGCTGGCGGTGACGAGGACGGCGTCGATCGCCTGTGACAATGACCTGCAGGACAGCGCCGTTTCTTCTCGGCGGCTGCTGGTGCCGGCGCCGAATACTGCGATTCAACGGTGTCGCCCGACTTTGGTCGTCCCGTGGGGGACTGGTGTGCTTGGCAGGGTGGCCGAGTCAGGCGAGCGAGTCATCTTCAATGCCCCTCACAGCCATTTTCTTGTCGTGAGTTTTTTTTTTTCAATCTTTTATCAAATATACGAGACAGTTTTCCTTTTCTCTGTTGTTGAAATTTTTCTAGTCATTATTGATTGAAGAACCGGAAAGGTAGTGATCGTTCATTTTAAATGCAGTTGAACCTCGATAACACGAATCTCTCTGAGACGAGTTTTGATTTCAAGTCCCTGTCTGAATTCAATCGGAAAAAATTCGCTGAAAACCTCCCTAACTCAAAGACTTTCCCTCTCAAACCCATCTTGGCTATTATTTTATTGACTCTGTAAATAAATGAAAATGGAAATGTAAATGCATTAAAAATGTAACTGTATGTGTTTTGAACCTAACTCCAAGTTCAGCATCCTGTCAATTCACTTGAGAATCAATTGAGGGCCCAGAATATCGAGAACTGTATTTCCTTGAATTCCTCTTGCTTTCCCTCAACAAAAATGCTTGTGTCCCTAACTTGGCTTTTTTTTTCCTGGTCCCCTGAAGTTCGGCTGAATGAGGTTCATTTGTAGATCCACTGTTCGGGGCATGATTTGTACTATTGCTGTTCGGATGCACGAAATAGCATGAAGGTCTTTGTTCCGAAAATAGCGCCTTCTACAAAAAGGCGCTTCTTTCATCTCGTATTCGCAGTATGAAGGCTTGGAGCACCATTCATTGTAACATGTTCGTATGACATTACAAGGGCTGGTGATTGAAGTTTCAAAATACATGAGCATGGAGTCATTCATGCGTTTGATTTCAGAAAAGACTTCATCATCAGTCAACTCCAGTTCAATGTAATCGAACGTTTTATAAAAATCTCTCCTGATTATTATTGGTACCCAAGTAAAGCATCTACTTGGGGATATCTACTTGAACTACTTGGGGAACCTTACCGAGACTTGAACCAAGATTTTTGCACATCAGTGAAACATTCTCCTGAATTGCAAATATTACTTGGGCAACGTATTTTTTTTTAGCAGTCGACGTAAGGCAGGCGCATCATCCACTTTTTTGCACCCTCACACTATGGAAAGTATTGAAAGGCATTTCTTGCTCATGGTTATCAGAAGTGCAGTATCTTTCAAGTGTTGGTGTGAATTTCAAATTTGGTGAAAAAAACACGAGTTTTGTCAAAATTAGAAGACACAGCACTGTACAACTGTATAAAACCGTGGTACAAGGGTCAAGAGTATTTGTGGGCAGCAATAATAGATAAATTATAATTTCAACCCCGTTTCAATTGAATGACTTCGAACATTTGAAACGAATTTATGAAATCACGTTTCTTTTACTTTAGGTGGTGAAATGCTTTTTAAATGTAATTTCAATCTCTTCAGTGAGGAATCATTTCGTGGATCTTTCGGTGTTTGTATGGCCGACGAAACCATTATTAAAAACTCGCCTAATGCCTTTTGGAAGACTAGCTTGACGTTTTCTGGTAGTCAAACATAGCAGATCGATTTGAAGCGGAATTACAGTCAATTAGTTCATTATATGTCTTCAACTTTTCATCCATGCCATTAGCGAGCGCAAATGTAAAGCGGAAATTTTTATTTCGTGATCAGCCCATCCGGTGAGTTTCTATCGTCTGCACAGGAAGCTAAAATAATTCGTATTTTTTATATTCTCCTGTGTGATTGGTTTAATTTACGAGTTCTACAGTCGGGGAAATTGATGAAATCAATTCAAATGAAGGCGATTGGTATTTTGTTGACATGAATATACAGTACTGTGTTCTGTAGTCGCCATTCCACTACGTTTTGGTAGTTATGTCAGAATAATGGAGCAGGAGGGAAGAAATCGAGCACGAATCAATCACTTTATTCCAGTGGTTTTACTTTCCTGTTTTATTGAGGAAAATTTCGGATCTTTTTATGTACCTCAATTGAAGGTTAACATTTTTTGGACCACTCCTCGTATTTATACTTCTAAAAAATGAGTAGCTGGGATATTTTTCGGGCATGGAAAAATGACGAAGAGAATAGTTTTTTTATTCACCTGGACGCTTTTCAATTCACATTGAAATTAATTTTGCGGAATGACTTCGTAAAGAACCGACTGTTCCGAAGTCATTGGACGATTACGACAACCACTCGCACAATGAAATCGGCGTGCCGAATTATCCATGTGATCTCCGGCATCAGCGTCTACGATTTACTTTGCTACAGATGGATGAAAGGTGATTGTTGAATATTGTGAAGCATCAAGGCATCCAGAAACTTACTGTTCTCGCTAACCTAAGTCAATTCACGTGTTTATGAAAGTGATTTATGTTAATTATTCACTGATGCGAAATTTTTGCGAATGCACGATGAACTATTCTCTGCATCTAAAAGGACACTTCATAGATTGCACATTTATTCAAAAGTGACAAATTGACAACGTACATTTTTCCAAGAATGCTGCAAATTTTTTTCATCATATTTTCAGTCAAAGTTTTTTTTTTTCTTTGTCGTGTTATCAAAACTAGAATAAAACTATTTTTGCAAGCGACGGGGATTTTAAAAATTGACCTCATAAAAAGAGCGTGTCGCTGTCCCTCCTTCATTTCGACGGCAGTTTTTACCATCACACGATTTATGATTTCGGAACACGCAACCTAACGAAAGAGCCCAAAGCGATTTGATACCCGTCCTGCTGTAATGCAACAGCAATTTCCGAGGCCTGCTTCCAAAAATTTCCGCAAGCCTCTGAAAATACTGAAGATTTCCCAGGGGGGACAACGAGACTTATCAACTTGCAGGGGAGGCCTACACCGATTACGAGACCGTGTTCCATAAATCGCTCCCCACAAAGTGTAGCAAAAATGAAGCCGAATTTTTGCGAAATGTACACGGGGAAAAAATGCCATTCTCGTCGTCATAAATTGATTTCCTCTCGTTTGATATTGTCCGTCATTTCCTCTCAGAGCCTCGAGAAAATATTATTTTGGTTTTTATTTTTCAAACCAACTGGACATTTCATTTTTGAACGTTGAGGCGGCGTTTCATTTCCGGAATAAATCGAAATCATTGGTTCATCTCGAAGGACTGTCTCCGTCATATCCTGGCAACAATAAAATTGTCCACTCTTTCGATTTTGATGGACTCGTTGAAATTTCCTGGGAAATCTCGGTGGAACAAACCGTCATTAATTCAATTGAACTTCCTGTAGTGACGCACAAAAATCAACAATGGTCAAGCGAACGATCAGCAACAGTAATTTCTAGTTCGAAGAAGAATAAGCTCAAAATTACAACACGTGAAATACTTCGATATTGTGACACGAAAGAGGGAATACGCGTTCAAATCGGAGAAATAACTCAAACATTTTTGTTGTAACAACTGTACTTTGAAAAACTTTGAAGAAACAATGTTACTTTTTTTTGAAAGTGCACTTGGAATGCTAAAAAAAATAAACCAGACTTACTTCAATTCTTAACCAGCAGATTTCCTCCGATTCTTCGGTGATTTAGATTTTTTCCTCACAATTCGAAACTGCTAGAACTCAAAGATTTCAATAGTTTTCTGTGACTTCACGGAGACATTAAAAGGAATACTTTGAGAAGTCCATTTCAAGGTTTCATCCAAATTGATACAAATCACTGATTTCTTCAAATTTCCGGAAATACGCTCGTCAAATTCGAACAGTTGTTCTTATAACTTGTCAATTACAGTATATCTTAGAACTTTTACGTTGGTCCCAGCAGCTTCTCCATCGAAAAAATGTTATTAAAATTTTGTTTCAACAAACTAATTTCATCAATAAAATCAGTATGACGAGTTTTTTGCCATGATTATGCTTGCATGGGCCACATGAAATTTAAATAATTGGCACACAAATTGGAAAACCCAACTTGTGCATGATTGAAATTTGCCAAAAGATTGAAATACAAATCTCCATGTTCAGAAAATGTAGTACTGCATAATTTTAGAATGTATGAAAAATATGATTTTTTAATTAACATTAATCCAGCTTCAGTTTAGAATTTACAAATGGCTACTTTCTTGAAGTTAGCAGTACAATATTTTTGAAACAATCCTTTTCTGTTTCAGGGAATACTTAGATTTTAATGAATGATCTTCCAACACAGGTAATTTTGTTTGTTTCAGCGCATATTACAGTAGATCCATACAGTTGTAGAAAACTCAACAAAGGGAAGGTCTAAAATAATTTACAGTTACTGTATCCTAGAATTTTAATTTGTCTTCGTTTGTTACCAAAAATTTGAGATGATGGAAAATTCTCCAAACATCTCTTGTGGAAGCACTTTAAATCCATTATTACCCGTCAACCACAAAATTTCAGTCATAAATGCGCCCAGGAATCTGAGTACATTATAACAAACTTTTCCTTACCACGAAATTTTTTCACAGATCCCTAAAAGTTCGTTGTAATGAGATTTTACTCTACTCGACAAAAAGAATCACTGCATTATTTTCACAGAGCAATTGTCCTTTCTTGTGTTTAAAAATGTTTTTTTCTCGACATTTGGGAGTTTTTCAAATCTTCCATAAGAAATGGTCGCATTGCTTCCGATACTTGACTGCCTCAATGAACCATGGTCTTCAACTTCAAGTTGAATTTTCGAAGTAGTCATGCATTTCAACGAATTCAGCAATAAGGACTGTGTCCTTTGCCAGATTGCACTCGACTTTCTGGAGCTCATTGTGAATGATCTAGTTGTTATATTGTTTGAAAATAAATGTATTTTAGCTCCCCGCGGAAATTCATTTTCCCCATTGTAAATAAAAATGCCCTTAAAATCAGATTCAATTCTTGAGGAAGACCTGCGAAATATTTTAAAAAGTTTTATATGCTGCTTGTGGAAGTCGGACTCGTGTTGCGATGCAAAAGATTATTCGTCGCGCGGATTTTTTCAGACTGAGAGGGAAAACTTGGAACTGAAATGAAGACGTTAAAAAGTGAGAGAGGAAAAAAAACCTATTGCAGCATCATGGAACTCCGAAAAATGCGTGTCATTCAGTTTGAATGCGAGTTGAAGTCGTGTGATCTTGAATGTATGAAAATTCCTGGTGTGAGAAGCACTGAAGTGAACACGTGTAATGTTCGTGAAAATTTTCGTTCCCCCCCTTTTTTTTCGCTCTTGTTTGAATACTGTACTTCCGAGAAAATTTTGTCCAGTAGGTTTACGTCTCAATAATGCCGAGTGAGTTCGACAATCATTTTGAAATGAAACCCGAAAAGGAATTGGGGATAAAACGCTGGGAAAATGGGACGAAGAGAAAAAGCCAGTCGGTAACATTTGCAGATTGAAATTATTTGCTGTTGTTCAATGGTTCGAACGGCTTTCTTGATTCCCGAGGAAGCTTTTCCAATCCGTATAAAGCTCTTTTCCTAATGAAAGCGTTTCCTGAATTTGTTCAAAAGGTGAAGCTTTCCGATTGCCGCTTTATTACTGCTCGTTGCCGATTTCCTGATGCATTTTCACCCTTTGAATTGCTTCTTTGAAGTATTTTGCTGAATAATCCGGGATATTCCTGTTAATGACGGATAATCTAACTTTGTTCAATGTACATTTGAAATACTTGATCAATTCACGGAGAAAAAAAAAATGTTTTATGACTTGCGATGATATTGCCTAAATTACTGCGAATTTTCGATCTCTTTAGCATAAGTCAGATGTTCTCAATCTCTACTCCACTGAACCTTTTTTTTCTGATACAAATTTTCAAACGAAGGTCAGACCAAGTGCTTGAGATGGGCGTTTTCCACGAATCATCGGGGAAAAGTCGTGTCCGTATTTCGAGATACAAATGAAATTCATGATTTTTTTTTTTTTACTTCGATAGTTCAAAAAATAAATTTCGAACTCGTTAAAAGGGGCTCCGTAGTTTAATTCTTGCTTCAACAAGGACTTTAGCAAAATAATTCATCGCTGAAAGACTCCTCAATTCGAAAATTTTCAGTTCAAACTTCTTTGTGTTAGTAAAAAAGAGGAATTCCATAATTTATTTGAAAAAAAAAAATCATTGACGGACATCAGGGATTAGAACCATCCTGAATATTTCGATTCAACTCGAACGGAATGGCGGAATTGTTACATCGAATTCTCAAGGTTTTATTTACTCCGAACTTCCGAAGGAATCGATCCTAAGAGTTGATGTTGAAACTCCGATAAGAGAGTCTGTGTTCACGGAATGAGCTCCGGAAAGTCAAGTTCAATCTAGCCAAGGACACAATCCTTGCTGAATTCGGTTGAAATGCGTGAGTACTTCGAAAATTCAACTTGAAGTTGAAGACCATGGTTCGTTGAGGCAGTCAAGTATCGGAAGCAATGCGACCATTTTCTTCTCCAAGATTTAAACAATTCCCAATTGTCGAGAAAAACATTTAAAACACAAGAAAGGATAATTTCTCCCTGAAAATAATGCAGTGATTCTTTTTTGTAGAGTAGAGTAAAATCTCATATTACAATGAAATTTTCGGGATCTCTGAAAAATTTCGTTGTAAGGAAAAGTTTGTTATTATCAGATTCCTGGGAGCGTTTATGACTGAAATTCTGTCGGTTAGAGGAAATAATGGATTTGAAGTGCTTCCACAGCAGGTATTAGAAGAATTTTCATCATTTCAAAATTTAGGGTGAACGAACAAAGACAAATTGAAGTTTTAAAATACAGTTACTGTACTGTAAATTATTGTAGACCTTCCCTTTGTTGAATTTCCTAGAACTGTACGGATCTTGCTTTAATATGCGCTGAAACTAATAAAATTACCCGTGTTGGAAGATCAATCATTCACTAAAATATAAGTATTCCCTGGAACAGAAAAGGATTCTTTCAAACATTCTGCTAATTTGAAGAAATTAGCCATTTTGAAATTTTAAAATGAAGCTGAATTAATTTTTATTTGAAAAATCATCTTTTTTCACACCTTCTAAAATTATACGGTTCTACATTTTTTGAATGTTGAGTTTCACATTTCACTTTTTTGGTGAATTTCAATCGTGCACAACTTGGGTTTTTCAATTTTTGTGCCAATCATTGAAATTGTTTGTTGCTCATGCGAACATAATCATGGCAAATAATTCGTGATAATAATTTCAATGATCAAATTAGTTTGCTGAAACGAAATTTTAATCAGATTGTTTCAATGGAGAAGCTACTGGCACCAAAGTAAAAGTCGTTCAACAAAAAATCATTTTAACCAGATTCTTTCGAGTCGAATTTTAGTGTATTCAAGTCGAAACCCAATCAAAATTACTGACACTTTCTTCAAAAAGTGTCGTACCTTTCTCAAAGCGTCTGGTTTCATACTTTAACTCTTGATGGGTGTCATATTGTGAAAAAGAAAAGCCCCTGAAATCATTTTTCGAAATCTGGTGAACCGAATGGGATCGATATTCCGTCTATGCCCGTGTTTAGATGAATTCCTATGGGCCTTTGTTTTGAAAGAAAGAAAGAGAGAAAGGAACATCAAGCGGATGTCACGTGACTTTTACACGAGCATAATTTATCTTGTTTTCCATCCACTTTGCAGCTTGAGGCGTCTAAAACTTCGGGGAATACCATATTTTCGCAGTGGGGGTGAAGAAAAAACTTTGAATTTATGAGGCTGTCCTTCTCTTGTGACACTTTCAACGTGATTTCCGAAATGAACAAAAAATCCCATCGCGTCTTCATAACGTTGACGTCTGCGTAAGCTAAAAATTGACAACGGTCTCTTGATTCAGAACAGTGTTCCCAATCTTTTTTGGGGACCCGCTGACCGGCAAATTTTCAAAATTTTCTTGCAAACTCAAAAAAGTTTTGTTCGAAATACGTCATGGAAGGTGTACAGGAAGTTTCTGATTTTTGCGAAAATTGGATCGACAACCAGTGAAGCAGCTACAGGGGAATGCATTTGAAAAATTAGGAAGGTGCGTTTGAAGAAAGATTTCTCAGAATGAAAAACAAATTGAAGTAATTCATTTCAACAGATGAAAATTTGTCTGAAGCGTTATCAGGAGAAAAGCCAACTTTTATTTTTTCATCAGATGATTTTAACTGCCATCGTCTCTCCAAAATTTCAGATAAAGAAAACAGACTTCATTGCTATGTCTGAATTTTTGAAACTGTAAATTTATTATGCTGAAGAAAATTTCCGGCGGACCGGCGAAAAGCTTGTGTGGACCCGGTCCGCGGACCACGTGTTGGAAACACTGATTCAGAAACGAAAATGAGACTCAGGTATGAACACTGCTTAGTGAATAAAATGTCATGGGCTGTGGTGCCTGTGTATAGGACGTCGGGGAAGGAAAGAAATTAATGTACCGCGTGTTACGACTTGACGGCAACAAATGCGATGAACCTGCCTCGCTTCTCAAAGGAGGAAGGTTGTATCCCATCCCTTTGTATCTTGCCTCGAGTTGACTAGGTTCAATCCACCCTGGATCGTTTATCACCCCCAGTTCCCCCCAGGGGACCAAATGATGGGTTGCAGTGGCTTTTCTTGTCATCCGCTGACTGGATGTTGGTGGGGGTTGCTAGCTGGAAGAAATTGGACAGGAGGAAGGTTGCGGACCTGATTGAGGGGGAAAAATCGATTTGCTCACTGGGAGGACTGTTTCCTTGCGCTGGTTCTGAAAAAAATGAGACGGAAAAGAAAAAGAAGCTCGGGACGCAATTTGTTGCGGGTTGTCAGTTTTTTCGCATTAATTTTCATAGTTACTGATGAAACTTTTTTTTTTCTTTTCAAGTCGAACTTCGGAGGACCCGAAAAAATTTTTTAACCTGGCCAAACGAGCATTTTTGTTGGGGGGAACGAGAAATAATTACAGGAAATTGTAATTTCTGTTATTCTCAGCCTAAATTGCTTTTGAAATGAGTTGACAGGCTGCTGAACCTGGAGGCAAGGGTTCATATGTCAAATTAGTCTTTCACTTGCTTTCAAAACTCATCGAGTTATATTTTTAATGCCTTCATCTTTCCTGTGTTGATAGAATAATATTCAAAATGCCTCCAGAAAATTCGACTCGTGGAGGTTTGAGGAAGTTAGCGAGGGTCTTCAATGCATTGTTTGTGAGGGGATCCAGACTTGGGACTTGGCAAAAAAATATTCGACGCATGGAGATTCGAGTTATCGAAGTTCAAGACACAATGAAAATAATTTATCTTGTGAAAATCTTTGTTTTCAGCAATGATGGGTTGGAAAGTTTTCAGGAATTCTCAATGGGTGCACGAAGAGTCTTAGATGTATTTGAACCATTTCATATGCGACAGCGACTATTTTAAATTTTTGTTCTTCGTTCCAAGATTTTTCGCATGATCTGTTCCTCATTTGGCTTATTGGTGACCCAATTTTTTTTTTGAAGTACGCATGAATGATTCGTGACTGTGTGCTGTACATTTATATTCCGAGTTTGGTTTTCCGATGCAGTATTTTATTTTTCTCATCACTGTACGATACTTTATTTTATTAGGCCGTGATTCAAGTTCTCGTAAATTTGAGTCTTGACTGAGACATATCTAAAAGTCATCGTCACATCAGCGTCTTATGCTTAAAAAAGGGATTTTTATATTACGCCCTGATTTTTAATTGTACAGTATTTCTTTGCGTTCGATTCGTTCACGAAGATGAATTGATTATCTTATTCCGGCAACCGTTTTTGGTGTCTGTTTTGTTGTTGTTGCTGAGATCCCGAGTCGCTAATTTTTCTCTACTGTATTGAAGATTTGAATGTTTTTCTGGAAATTACATTCATGTGGTGGGAAAACGCGTATTTTTTGTTGTTGTTGTTGGGCGGAAACAAGCTTGAAGTAATCAGAAGGATGTTTTTTCGCCGCGTTTGCCATTGTTGATGTTCTTGGAAGCCTCAAGAAGAAGAAGAAGAAGAAGCTTTCGTAGAGAAGTAGTTTTTCCTTGCGGAAGAAGGACGCAGGAACGTGAGTTGAAAGGGGACAAACTAGCACTTCGTGTTTGTCAATGTTTGTGTCGGGAATCTCGAGAGTTTCCTTCAATTCCGCACGCGTTTCTTTCCTCTCTTCCGCCAGCCATCCTTTCAATAATGCACGACCACGCCAATTTAAAAGCTTGCATGTTGAGAACCCGTCGAGTGCAGTTCTGCCCCTGAAGGCGTTTTTTTCTTTCTTTACTTCTTTCTTTTCTTCTTTTGTTGGTTTTATTTATGACGAGCGAAGAATAAGAAGATCTTCTCTACACGAACGGGCTGTGGGGATTTTGAAATCCTTTTGGTGGGGAAATCCTGAAGAGGGGAGGGGGGGGGGGGGGGGGGGATTGAAAGTTTTTTTGTATGGGGGGGGGGGGGGGGGGGGGGGGGGGGGGGGTGAATTGAAAGTTTTTTCGTCTCGTATTTGCGCTTTTTGGCGGAGATTAGCGTGCTTTTTTTGTGCGAATGTTCCGAAAATTTTGTGCGTCTTATCCGGCTGTGGAACTGAGACCTAGTGACTTAAATTTGGTAGGGGTTATGAATTTTCATGGGGTTGACTGTTGCTTGATATTTTGAACGATTTGAAAAATATGCATGGATCCAGATTTCACGACCATCTTCAATGGAAGAAAGGGTTTTTGATTTCTGCAATTTTTCGTACACTATTTTTTTACGCGAAGTTTTTTATTTTTATTTTCAGTGGATAAGCAAAACGTTGTTTGGGTGATTTTTGCAATGCGAGAAAATTCTTGCATTTTTTATTGCTTCTGGAGTAGATTTTTTTTACTCATGTTTACCAACGGTGGCTTTATTTAAACAAAAAATGAAAGTGAGTCCATTGGTAATGCTTTTACCCGCGTTCAAATGTTGATGGAATGGGGTAATGTGTTTGGAAGCTTTTTCTAGTACGGAAAAACTGCGTTGAATTTTCGTAGTATTAACGCAAGTTTTTGCGAAGATCCTTGTATTTTCGTGTTTGAAGAAAAAGAAGAAAACGCCTTCGTTTTCTTTTATAGTGAGCAATTGATGGCGGGAATTCGCATTGGAATCGAAGTGAGTGGCGAAGATAAGCTGTAGACGCGCGAAGCTATTCACGGTTTAGAATGAATTCTTTTTTTTTGTTGGAGTTTTTCGTTTCTTGAGACGTCTTTTATCATATTACAGTCGAAAAAAATTGGAAAATAATTTAAAATGATAATGTCCCGAAGTCTGCGCTGAGTTACGTTAAATTATCAGGTTTGTATCTCGAGATTTATTTTGAATCGAAGTCTTGAAAAACTGATTCGAATTTTTTGAGCAACCCGCGTTTTAGTGGAGCAAGAGCTTCGTGAACTGCGGCGCACGAGTGATTTATGAGTGATTTATAAGACAAAAATCCTACTTATCTGAGATTTTTTTCTGGGCTGCTTTTAAAGAAAAATGTCCGAAATCGCTGGCGCGTGGAAAAAGCCACTGATAACGAAGCTTTACGTATGATGGCATCCCTGACTAATGCCGGGGTGTCAGGGATTTTAGAATAAGATTTCCAGCGCGTGTCTCTCCGTATTACTCTCAATAAGGTCAAGTTTGGAGGTCTTTTTTTTTGTAATGGGGCAACATTTCTGTCTTTCGCCTGCGAAAATATGGGTCTTTTCCAGGTTTGAATATTTATTTTTCACAAGCTGTAGAAAGTGTTGAATGGTGACCGAGTTTTTTCGAGGAAAAAAAAGAATTCGAAAATGTGGATCAGGTTTGAAAAAGTTTTCGAATAATTTTACGGGTGGAAGCCTTTGCTCTTGGTAAGTCTGACAACTTGGGTCTTCTGTACGTCTCATTCTAGTCTCCATTTACTGAAACCCTCGCATAGGTCCATAAGTTCACCTGCAACAATATTTTTTCACAATTTTTCGTTTATTGGAAGCCCAGCCAGCCACGAAAACCCCCTTTGTTATGGATGAGAAATTACGAAATAAATTAATGCATTTTTCTGTAGATTTCATGGGGTCATTATTGAGAATCACATGCCCATGCTCACGAAGAAACTCATGATTTTGGAAATTGTATTTCTTGAATTACGCTTGAAACTACTTTTATTTTTATATGACGCCGTCCTTCATAGAAAATTTTATGATTATATACATTTTTAGATTTTCCTGAAATATTGGCGATTACATCGTGATGACACCTAAAATTGACCACAAACAAACAGTCAGAAAACACCTCTAATCCTTTAATAGACATGATACGTGAAGCATTATATTATATTTCAAATTATTAAATACGACTGGATACTTTCTAAAAGCATTAAATTTGAGCCCCTCATCTCATTCAAAAGACTCATTGGCATAACCATTTTCTAAAAAAAAACTTATTTTGCCCACACCAAAAATCCAGAACTAAACTTTCCCCTCATGCAATAACCTCGATTTAGTGCCAAAAAAAATACGCCAGGACAGATGATGACAGTGGTTCAACTTTTTCTCAATAATATAGTGTAGAATTTCGTTACAACGAATCTCGTTATAGCGAATTGACGTTTGCTACGAATTTGTTTCTTTTTTTCCGTCCCTGTCCGATAGCTACGATGTCATTTTAATTCCGTTTGAACGAAATTTTTTCTAAGAAGACTTTTAGTTAGGTCCAAAATGCTTCGTTGTATCAAGATTATACTGTACAGTATTTAATTTGAAATTATCAGGAGCTTTTGTTATGAACGAGTTCGACGGATTTTTGTTGATTAAAAAAAGTCCTTGGAAATGCGCTGTTTGTTTCACGTGATTTTTATTGTTGCTGACGTAAAATTCGCATGTTTTACTTGGTTCCGTTCCGCTTAGCTTCATTGTGAAAGGCTTTATTTGTCTCTTCTTTTTTTTTCCATATGGAAAAATGCATTCGTGAATGAAGCGTCCCTTGATCCGTGGCAACATGGAAGTCAATGTTGTTGTTGGAAGCCGACTCTGCTCCTTAATACACATACAGTGCAAACATGCGATCCAAGTCCCCATTTCCCTCCGTCGCGTCTCGCATCAAATTCGGTCGTGGGGAAAGAAGCACATCGGAAATTCCCCCTTCATTTTTTAAGCCAGTGTATGTCATGCTACTCATGCACTAGTCACAGTTGCACGGAACCGTATATTTGACGGGGTTCTCGATGCCTGTTGGAGAACGAGGTTTTCTCTCTTCCTTTTCACATGCGATGATTGCTCTTGAAGCCCGAAAAATACGGTATACATATGCATATACATATACTGAATATTTGAATTAAAAAAAGAGTGAAGAAACCTGGAAAGTTTTTTTCTTTTTCTTTTGTGAAAAAGCGTGTTATAGGCAGAGAGACGCGACAATCGCGTCAGGGGGTTCCTGCGGAAAATCCCGACCCCTGCGCTCGTAGGTGGTGCTGCTACTGCGCTCCTCGCAATTTCTCACTTGGTCGCACGCTTTAAGGAAAACGCTGAAAGCAAGCGAGGAACAAATAATGGCAGAAAATATAAAGAGGGGGGAGAAAAGTCGGAAGAGAAGAAGAAGATGCTGTTATCCCCGGTATTCGTTGAGTAAGGAGAGAGAGAGAGAGACCTCTTCATTGCTGATCGCGGAATATTCTTCTCACCCCTCCCCCACCAGGACTTTGATCCCCTTTTCCTTTATTTTGCATGGCATGACGTTTGTTGGACTTGATCAGAAGAATAGACTTGCATATTTTTAAACAGACGGGGGTGGCTCGCTCTTCAACGATGTTGACTACGACGATTTTCTCTGTGCAGGTGGACTCTCATCTCTACAAAAAAATTCGAGGGGCTAGAAAAAATTCGTTTGAAGAGAGAATTTTTTTGGTTCTAAAAAAAAAACCTGTTTCTGTCTCGCCTATCAAGTGCAGTTGTGTGTGTTTTAGAATCCTTCTCAATAGTCACAGAAGTTACCAAGAGAAGTACAGTATGATGTTGGGGACAACAGTCACCACAACACAAGAAAAGATAAAGAAGCTGTGGATAAAGAAATTTAGAAAGAGAAAAACAGAATCAGCGTGGGACAAGGCTGGGGATTCTTGGTAGAATCCCAAATTTAACTTAAACTGTATTTCAATATACAGTATAGTCCCAACAACAGTAAAGATTTCAACAAGTCACAAAATATATTAATGGTTAACAAAAACCTTTCAGCAAGCTCGAATTTGTCACACTGTGTTCACTGCACAACAGCTAGGCTCAGACTGGTGGTGAAAAATTGGAAAAAGGTTTTTTTTATTAATGATTGTTACTGGCCTTGATCCAGCACTCTGGCTGAGGATCAGGCCATTTTTGGAGGCCTGGGATTGGCCAGAAAAATGTGAGTCGAAGACGACTCTGGGGACAGGAAGCCTTGGAAAGACTACGACGATTTTCTCTGTGCAGGTGGACTCTCATCTCTACAAAAAAATTCGAGGGGCTAGAAAAAATTCGTTTGAAGAGAGAATTTTTTTGGTTCTAAAAAAAAAACCTGTTTCTGTCTCGCCTTTCAAGTGCAGTTGTGTGTGTGTGTTTTAGAATCATCCTCAATAGTCACAGAAGCTTCCAAAAGAAGTATGATGTTGGGGACAACAGTCACCACAACACAAGAAAAGAGAAAGAAGCTGTGGATCAAGAAATTTAGAAAAAGAAAAACAGAATCAGCGTGGGACAAGGCTGGGGATTCCTGGTAGAATCCCAAATTTAACTTAAACTGTATTTCAATATACAGTATAGTCCCAACAGTAAAGATTTCAACAAGTCACAAAATATATTAATGGTCAACAAAAACCTTTCAGCAAGCTCGAATTTGTCACACTGTGTTCACTGCACAACAGCTAGGCTCAGACTGGTGGTGAAAAATGGGAAAAAGGTTTAAAAAATAATTACTAACAATGACCGGAACTAGGTCGTGAGACCGACTCCTAGTCCGGTAAAAACCTCCGGACCCTAACCGGTCTTTTTACACTCAGCTTCTGCTGAGACCCCTGTCCTTCGGAACCTTGAAGGTTCTCGAATTTTCTGAGATTTTCTGGTGCCCTGAATTCAGCTGTTTTCTGTGTTTGTCCTTGGGCGATTTTTCCACCGGATTTACTCTTGCCTCGATTAATGAGGCCCTCATCACACTGGCGGCGGCGGATGTTCAACATATGACTTGGCCTCTCAAGAAGTTTCAATTAAATCTTGGTCATAAAGAATACATCTGCTGTAGATACAACTGTACTAGTTGTCTGAGGTAGGGGGAATTTTCAGAACCAAGAAGGTGTTCTTGGCAGAAAGGCATTCCATTTTGTATAAACATCATAGAAATCCATGAAAAATACTGTCACGGAATTCTTGCTTGATTCCTCGATTTTAAAATTAATTTATTATTTGTTTATTCCGCAGGACTCGAAAGTCGCAGAGCTGAAACAAAGTGCTGGACAAACCAAGTACTGGAATCGGGCGTCTCCGTCGTGTTCGCCGCGGAGAGGCGGCCCTACTAATGTCACATGCGTGGCGGCGATGCCAGTCCGGAATCCGTGGGGGGAAGTGGTGGCCGTCGCCCAGGCCGTCAAAAAAGACGGCGGCTTCAATCCGGAAGACTTGCAGGTGAGGCGGAACTTTAAAAAATGCATGTGAGAAGAGCAAGTGTGCATAATATCAGTCGAATCTGCGCAATAGGACCAGTTTGGGCCATCAGAGGCTTTTTGGTCCTATTTTCCAGCTGCTCCTAATGACCGAATTTTAATTGAAATGAATCTTGGTTTGAATTTTATGCCGTGGGCCCCGAGATGCGGACGTAATTGGTGCTTGGACATTGTCCCTATGACGGGACATTTGCATTTTGGATCGCGTTTCCTCGTGAACTTGATTGCAAACACATTGAACTGGTTCTTCTGGTACTCGAAAATTTGAATAAGTGCTTCAAAAAGTTGAAAAGAGTTTTCCTGGATGCCAAAAGAAAAACGTGGAATAACTGTGCAGAAGAAAATCACATGGAATCGGATATTATAGCTTCCAAAATAGCACGAAGAACAGATGAGGACATGAACAAGTCTTGTTAAATGTGCACAGATGATGAAAAAAAAATCAGAAATTATAAGCACCGGATTAGCCTGCGTTTATTTTTATGAATTGGAGTGCATTTAAAATGATTTTTTTATAATTTTGTTTATAGCACCATTTGTTCAAGAAATATCAAAATGTCGTGAAATGCCAATCTTCAATTTACTCATGAATGTGGGAAAGTGTCTCAATCTCAAGAAATGTTTTGCATGCTTTGACAGATTTTTTTAGTTTCAGGTGTTAAGTCAAATTTTCTGTATGCTGTGGTCATACCGCACGAGTTTAGCTCGTCATAACATTAAATTTAAGGTCTTTTTTCGCCTTGGAAGTTATATTTAGTTACCACCTTATATAGTTATCGACATCTTATTTTTATTCTCACGACATATTATGTCACTCGACATGACATAAGTTTATTGATTGCTATTTTCTTCATGATACCGTATTTGGCAAATAATCCTGTATTTCATCTGGTCAAGTGATTCATGTTCGAAGGTGCCAACTTTTCATGCAATTTTTATGAAGATTATCAAGTTTCGTAGATAAAAAGGCGTAAAAAGAAGTATTCATACAAGTATCAAGGTGATGAACAGCCATTGTACCGTATAGAAATGAATTAGAAAGTCAGTTAGACTCGAACTACAGATTGGACAATTGGACAAATTTGTTTCCTTATCATAAAAGAATTTCAAAAATCGTAATCATCACTGATGGTCCTTGTAAGCGACCTACGATTTCTGCGTATACATTTCACGCTTTAGATTCGGTTCCTTTAACTCTGGTCCTAATATGTGGCTCGTCCTATCAACCAGTTGAGCGGCTTAAAAAATTGCGTCTTTCAAACTTCAAAGTCGGTTCAGTCGGGGGTTTTATAGTGTACTACTCTACTCGTATAAAGACTTCAGTTCCTTTTTTGGCTCAATAGTCAAAACCGAGAAAGCGTGCGTCAATGAAAAAATAATCTAAATATAATTTCGACCGGCTGTTTTAGCGTTTCGTTTCTTTGGAGTTGTAACTGGACGAGTGGAGTACTCTGATTTTTTTTTTTTTTAATTAATGATTCCTTTCCCATGTTCTTATACCTCGTTTATGATCTTTTCTTTTTGTTTTCTGGCAGCTGGTGGAGACGTACCTGCAATTCGTAGGCATCGCGTTAACGAATGCGCTCGTGTTGGAGGCTTCCAAGAAGGAATACGACCGGAATAAGGCGAGTACTGTTTGTTGTTTGGTGTTGTTTTTGGTGGTGTCGAGACGGGATCAATTTCATTGCTTTCTCGCGATATAGTCCCCTCGGTACGCGAGATGAGCCTGTCGTGCTCAGACTGAAGGTCGGGAGGGTCATTCGGAAAGTTTCCGACGGCATTTTTTTTGTTGGGATAATGAATTTTTGCTTCAATTCATGGTGTGCTGAGGGTTGATCAGATAGCTGTAGGAAGGTTGTCCGAGTTGGACGCCACCCCTGATATTTTCAAAAGTTCGTTTGATTGTAAAATTAAAAAAAAGATTATGACATAGCCCCATGAAGTTCTATGGTTCTGGGATTTCTTTTCGGATTTTGAAAAAAATTTCTCCAATTTACCGCGTGTAGATGCGGGGAAACTTGACGGATACAGCCAGGGTTCTCCGCCCGTGTCACAGCGTGGTAAAAATTGATGAGAAATTAACTAACGTGAATTTTTTCTTGTTCTAACACGATCATTTAAAATTTAGAGAAGTTGAAAAATGAAACGTCAGCACATTCTCATTTTTTTATTCAGCTGGCCTCGTACGTGTAAAGCTGATTTCGATTTCGTCCTTGGTTGTTCATGCGTGGGAGGGATGACCGACATTTTATATTATTTGACGAATGCACAAATTTTCTGTGAACGAAACAAAGTTAAACCCTAGGCTGGCTGGTTTTTTATTCTGAGATATAATTTCTGTCGTGATGATGTGAACCCATGTTGGATTTTCTTTTTCTAACTCAATGGCCTCAATAATGGGTAAATTACATTCCATTTCTTGCGAGCTGGAAATAGTGTCATTCATTTTTTTAAATTCTCTAGGGATTTCATATAATCGAACCTCTTTAAGGCGGAATTTGAAGGAACCAGGAAGATACATTTCGAGTTAGGAATACAAATATTTTTGTTGGGAGGGGGAAGATTGACAGGAAATTTCATATGGTATTTTGGTCCTTGAATCGATTCATGAATGAATTGACCGGATGATGAACTTGGAGTCGAGGGTTAATTTGTCCGATTACTCTTACCTTAAAAAAAACTTTATTTTACATCAACCTGTTTATCGCTTTTCTCTTTCCTGTGTCAATAAAATGAATGGTCAATAGGCTCCCAAGAAATCCTAGTTTTGGAGATTTGATGAGGAGAGCCTTCGGTATAGTTGAGTTTTTAATTCATTTTGTCCAAGGTATTTCAGACTGGGACTTGAATAAAAAATTGTCGATTTAGCGAAGTTCAAGTGTCCTGAAATTGCTGTGAAAATTTCATCGAAGTTACGATGAACTGTGAAAAAGACCGAGAGTCGTTTTTTTAAAGCACCTGCATTCTCCCATTTTTCTCGTTAGTAACGGAATATTTTTCGCGAATGTTCTCACTTGGCAAATCGCTCGGGTCACAATAAATTCAAGGTCTTCTTCTGAGTCGGAAAAGGAATATTGTAGTGTAATGCATGAACTCGAGTTTCTTTCCCGTATCGCCTGGTGTCGGAATTGAGAACCATTGTTGTGGCCCCCTCATTCATATTTGTGACCTGACTCCACGTGGGGACGGAACGGAAGGGAAAGAGGATCCGGAAATGCTTCCGGTGCGACGCAGGAAAGGTGCTTCTGTTTCGTCACCCGTGTCCGCTGTATCTCCGCAATGGACCCGAATATGAAATGTGATGTATCCGGTTGATTCCAAGTTGGGAATATTTGTCTCCTCCGTATTCCGGATAATGGACGATGTGTTTTTTCGGATAGTGAACCGATCCNCGAGCAGTATTGTAATTTAAATTCCAGAAAAAAGCGGAACCTTCAATATAAATCAATGGTGGAATATATCAATAGCTGTAGAATAAAAATAAGAGTGCTGTATAATACAGTGAGCTGTACTGTATTCCTTATTGAATGCTATTTTGCTATCTTATCCATGATTGTATTAAGCAAAAATCCTGTATTTTATCTGGTCAAGTGATTCATGTTCGAAGGTGCCAACTTTTCATGCAATTTTTATGAAGATTATCAAGTTTCATAGATAAAAAGGCGGAAAAAGAAGTATTCATACAAGTATCAAGGTGATGAACAGCCATTGTACCGTATAGAAATGCATTAGAAAGTCAGTTAGACTCGAACTACAGATTGGACAATTGGACAAATTTGTTTCCTCATCATAAAAGAATTTCAAAAATCGTAATCATCACTGATGGTCCTTGTAAGCGACCTACGATTACTGCGTATACATTTCACGCTTTAGATTCGGTTCCTTTAACTCTGGTCCTAATATGTGGCTCGTCCTATCAACCAGTTGAGCGGCTTAAAAAATTGCGTCTTTCAAACTTCAAAGTCGGTTCAGTCGGGGGTTTTATAGTGTACTACTCTACTCGTATAAAGACTTCAGTTCCTCTTGTGGCTCAATAGGCAAAACCGAGAAAGCGTGCGTCAATGAAAAAATAATCTAAATATAATTTCGACTGGCTGTTTTAGCGTTTCGTTTCTTTGGAGTTGTAACTGGACGAGTGGAGTACTCGTGATTTTTTAAAATTAATGATTCCTTTTCCATGTTCTTATACCTCGTTTATGATCTTTTCTTTTTGTTTTCTGGCAGCTGGTGGAGACTTACCTGCAATTCGTAGGCATCGCGTTAACGAATGCGCTCGTGTTGGAGGCTTCCAAGAAGGAATACGACCGGAATAAGGCGAGTACTGTACTGTTTGTTGTTTGGTGTTGTTTTTGGTGGTGTCGAGACGGGATCAATTTCATTGCTTTATCGGAATATAGTCCCCTCGGTACGCGAGATGAGCCTGTCGTGCTCAGACTGAAGGTCGGGAGGGTCATTCGGAAAGTTTCCGATGGCATCTTTTTTTTGGGATAATGAATTTTTGCTTCAATTCATGGTGTGCTGAGGGTTGATCAGATAGCTGTAGGAAGGTTGTCCGAGTTGGACGCCACCCCTGATATTTTTAAAAGTTCGTTTGATTGTAAAATTAAAAAAAAAAGATTATGACATAGCCCCATGAAGTTCTATGGTTCTGGGATTTCTTTTCGGATTTTGAAAAAAAAGTTCTCCACATTTACCGCGTGAAGATGCGGGGAAACTTGACAGATACAGCTAGGGTTCTCCGCCCGTGTCACAGCGTGGTGAAAATTGATGAGAAATTAACTAACGTGAATTTTTTCTTGTTCTAACACGATCATTTAAAATTTAGAGAAGTTGAAAAATGAAACGTCAGCACATTCTCATTTTTTTATTCAGCTGGCCTCGTACGTGTAAAGCTGATTTCGATTTCTTCCTTGGTTGTTCATGCGTGGGAGGGATGACCGACATTTTATATTATTTGACGAATGCACAAATTTTCTGTGAACGAAAGTACGAAACAAAGTTAAACCCTAGGCTGATTGGTTTTTTATTCTGAGATATAATTTCTGTCGTGATGATGTGAACCCATGTTGAATTTTCTTTTTCTAACTCAATGGCCTCAATAATGGGTAAATTACATTCCATTTCTTGCGAGCTGGAAATAGTGTCATTTATTTTTTTAAATTCTCTAGGGATTTCATATAATCGAACCTCTTTAAGTCGGAATTTGAAGGAACCAGGAAGATAAATTTCGAGTTGGGAATACAAATATTTTTGTTGGGAGGGGGAAGATTGACAGGAAATTTCATATGGTATTTTGGTCCTTGAATTGATTCATGAATGAATTGACCGGATGATGAACTTGGAGTCGAGGGTTAATTTGTCCGATTACTCTTACCTTAAAAAAAACTTCATTTTACATCAACCTGTTTATCGCTTTTCTCTTTCCTGTGTCAATAAAATGAATGGCCAATAGGCTCCCAAGAAATCCTAGTTTTGGAGATTTGATGAGGAGAGCCTTCGGTATAGTTGAGTTTTTAATTCATTGACAGGTTCCATAAAGTCTGACCCTGAACTTATTTTTTAACAGCTAAATCGCTTCAAGTTCACAGGACTTTAACGACACTTTTAAAGTAGCTTCAATGCTACTTGACACTTTTTCTGGCTCTCAGCAATTTTTAAAGCACCTGCATTCTCCCATTTTTCTCGTTAGTAACGGAATATTTTTCGCGAATGTTCTCACTTGGCAAATCGCTCGGGTCACAATAAATTCAAGGTCTTCTTCTGAGTCGGAAAAGGAATATTGTAGTGTAATGCATGAACTCGAGTTTCTTTCCCGTATCGCCTGGTGTCGGAATTGAGAACCATTGTTGTGGCCCCCTCATTCATATTTGTGACCTGACTCCACGTGGGGACGGAACGGAAGGGAAAGAGGATCCGGAAATGCTTCCGGTGCGACGCAGGAAAGGTGCTTCTGTTTCGTCACCCGTGTCCGCTGTATCTCCGCAATGGACCCGAATATGAAATGTGATGTATCCGGTTGATTCCAAGTTGGGAATATTTGTCTCCTCCGTATTCCGGATAATGGACGATGTGTTTTTTCGGATAGTGAACCGATCCCGTCTGTGGGAATCAGACTTGACGAAAAAGAATGCCTCGATCAAATTTAAAAAAGGCGGTTTTTGTAAATGTTCCGGCGTGATTCTAACGAGAACCGTTTCTTTTGTGATTCATATTATGCGGAATATTCATTTTATTTTGGCCATCATCGTAGATTTTCTGAACAAAATTCTTGGGAGATTTGAAACAGATGAACCATTCATTAACTGAGTGAAATTGGTAGTTTCGAATATTCCAGTTGATTTGGTCGATGTATTCCTCTCCATTGCTGTAATCGGTTCATAGAGAAAGTCTGCTACCTGAAACCTATAAGTCAGGTAATTGGCTACGTGAGGACATTATGTGACCCTTAACTCTACGTCAACCCCAGGGCTGTACACCTACCAAGCTGATTCCCAATGAACTATTGAGTGAAAATCTGCCTCGAAATCCCGACGATATCTCGAGTTACGGACATTTCACCAAAATTTGTGAACAAATGGAACAAATTGTGTTTCACAAAATTCTTGTATCCCTTGAACAAATGGAACTTTTTATACTGTATTAAAAAAAATTTATAGAAATTAACTACTGTATAATTTTATATCACAGAACAGGATTATTTTGTGATTTTTTTTCAGAGTTCTCTCCATCATATGAACACAGTGCTGTATAGGAAGACTTGTGAAGGTTTTTTTTTTATTTGAGCTCCTTTTCATGCCGGAAGTTGATATTATTAAGTGTGGTTTTCTTCTGCTCTGTTATTTTCTGTATTTTGGTTGAAAAAAAATATTATTCGATTCAACATTTTCAGGAAACTTTCCCACATTTTTGATCAACATAAGAAGCAATTGAGTACATTTCCATTGAATCTTAAGGGAAAACATGATTTGACGTGATGATGTTCCGACATAAAGACAAGGAATGAAAATGGAGGGATTTTTTCGTATGAAAGAAGTACCGTGGGACCCCGAAATGCGGAAGATTCGACTGAACAACGATTTGAATTAAAATAAATCTGCCAACATCTGAAGTATGTCTTAATTAAGATACAGACGTCTTTCTAACGTTTACAGAAAAATGAAAAAAATTGTTGATATTCTCAACAAATTTAGTTATTTATACTCTCGAAAATCGAAAATAAAGTTCATTTCTAAGTTACTGTTCAGTAATTTAAATCAAAAGAAGGCTGATTTTTTTCTTTTGTCTTGTGTGCACAGTATAGCTTGACTTGGCTCCGTCTGTTGCGAAAAGATCAAATTCTGTGTGGTTTTCGTCAAGATGCAGTTATTTTGTGCATCTTGAATTTGGCAAACAAGTCAATACATTTTTTGGGTACTGAATTCCTGATTTTTGATGAACAGGACTACAGGAGAACCAATTTATTATGTACCCATTGAATCCAAATGGCGAACGTGATTCGACATGCGGACTTCCCGACATAGGGACAGGGTCCAAGCACACATTTCGTCCGCATCTTGGGGCCCCACTGGCGAAAAGGAGAGAGAGATAGAGAGAAAGGGATGGAGGAAAACCTGAGAAATGGAAGGAATGTCGATGGGATGAAAGCGTAATTCAGTCCAGTCCACGCGTCTGGTTTGGAAAGTCGTCAGCACCCCCCCCCCCTTTTTTGCTCGTTAGTCCCCCGAGTTCTCTTGATTTCACTCTCCTGCAACACTTTCAGACGATGGACTTTGGATATTCAGTCCATTAACCGATGCACTCCTGTAATACACTGGGAATTGAGATGCAGTTGGGGTCCCGACATGTGGATGGTTCGACTAAGGGTTACTTGATAACTCACGAAATCTGCCTCGAAATCCCGACGATGTCTCGAGTTACGGACATTTCACCAAAATTTGTAAACAAATGGAACAACTTGTGTTTCACAAAATTCTTGTATCCCTTGAACAAATGGAACTTTTTATACTGTATTAAAAAAAAAATTATAGAAATTAACTACTGTATAATTTTATATCACAGAACAGGATTATTTTGTGATTTTTTTTCAGAGTTCTCTCCATCATATGAACACAGTACTGTATAGGAAGACTTGTGAAGGTTTTTTTTTTATTTGAGCTCCTTTTCATGCCGGAAGTTGATATTATTAAGTGTGGTTTTCTTCTGCTCTGTTATTTTCTGTATTTTGGTTGAAAAAAAAATATTATTCGATTCAACATTTTCAGGAAAATTTCCCACATTTTTGATCAACATAAGAAGCAATTGAGTACATTTCCATTGAATCGTAAGGGAAAACATGATTTGACGTGATGAGGTTCCGACATAAAGACAAGGAATGAAAATGGAGGGATTTTTTCGTATGAAAGAAGTACCGTGGGACCCCGAAATGCGGAAGATTCGACTGAACAACGATTTGAATTAAAATAAACCTGCGAACATCTGAAGTATGTCTTAATTAAGATACAGACGTCTTTCTAACGCTTACAGAAAAATTTAAAAAATTTAATTTTGATATTCTCAACAAATTCAGTTATTTAAAGTCACAAAAATCAAAAATAAATTTCATTTCTAAGTTACTGTACGGTAATTTAAATCAAAAGAAGGCTTATTTTTTTTTCTTTCGTCATGTGTGCACAGTATAGCTTGACTTGTCTCCTTCTGTTGCGAAAAGATCAAATTCTGTGTGGTTTTCGTCAAGATGGAGTTATTTTGTGTATATTGAATTTTGCAAAAAACGACAATCAATTTTTTGGGCACTGAATTCCTAATTTTTTATGAACAGGAGAACCAATTGATTGTGTACCCATTGAATCCAAATCGCGAACGTGATTCGACATGCGGACTTCCCGACATAGGGACAGGGTCCAAGCACACATTTCGTCCGCATCTTGGGGCCCCACTGGCGAAAAGGAGAGAGAGATAGAGAGAAAGGTATGGAGGAAAACCTGAGAAATGGAAGGAATGTCGATGGGATGAAAGCGTAATTCAGTCCAGTCCACGCGTCTGGTTTGGAAAGTCGTCAGCACCCCCCCTTTTTTGCTCGTTAGTCCCCCGAGTTCTCTTGATTTCACTCTCCTGCAACGACGGGAAATTTGCCGAACGTGGGGAAAGAGGAGAAAACCAGTTGATTGCCAGTTTTATTTTATTTTATTTTCCTCTTCTTATTTATCGCGAAACGTGATCCCTTCACCTTTGCCGTGCACCAGCCCGGAATATACACGCATTCAATTTGCATCTTATTTCACCCCTGGGAACCCAATCGATGTACTGTACCTTCTTCCAGCATGGAAAACCCCGTCGAGAAACACACACACACACACTCCTGGTCGTGGCTCAATGATGAAGCCGAGAGCATAGTGTGCAGAAGTTGGGTGTTTCCTCTCCCTCTTTTTACCCCCGCGAGCTGCTGACCGAGAAAGTCTTGTGTTCGAAAAGGGAGGACGGGGGGAGGGTTAGAATAAAGATGCGGAACGCAAGTGTGGAGTGATCCCCACCAACCCAATCCAACCAAACCCTATCCCCCCCCCCCCCCCGGTTCTCTTCTTCTTTTCTCCTTGTGTCGAGGGTTTTTTAATCAAGCAAGGTGCTGGCGTGATTTCGTTTATTTCCTTCCGCCTCGAGCCGTGCGCCGAACTTGTCTTGTTTGATTGCAAGTCTTCCGTCGGGGAATGAAGCAAATGTGCAAAACACACACACACACATGCACACACACTGAGCATCCCTGGAAAGAAGAAGACCCACGTTTTCTGCATTTTGCCGCTTCTTTCTGTCGGCAACACGAGGATGCTCTTTTTTTTGCGTCTTGAAAAATCCGTGGGATTTCTCAGAAGTCTTGGAAGACGAGTTGACCCAGTCTGGCCTCGTAAAAAGCAGCATCAATGCGAAATGCTGTTTTGATGCTATTCACTGATGAATTTCGTTGTTCATTAACAATGAATGTTCCACCGAAGCGTTTCTTTACGTAGGAGGAGTCAAACAAATGTTCTGGGAATAGAAATTGAAAATGAATGTTAAGGAGATAGGAGGTTAAATTACGAAGAAAGTAAATAAGTTGTACAACAAATGTTGGGCCGCAACCGGGATGATTGAGAACACCCTATTCTAAGATGGTATATTCTCACCAGTTTCACAAGACTCTGGCTTTCAACAAGTTTGCCAAGTACTCGTGGATTCGCATGGTACTGAGGTTCAGAAGACAGTGAAGTCTTTGCGCGGACTTCTGCATCATGAAAAAGGGTTTGTCTCATGGAAATGTCCACTGAGATTTAGTATTTGATTACAACATCCGCTTTTTGGAGTACAGTTACTATTCTTCAGCTTTTTAGGGATTTGAGAAATTCAAGGACCAAAGGTCCATTCCAGTTTGTTGTGAGAGCAGGGGTGAAACCCAATCCCCACAGAAATAACCAAGGACAAGTTTTGGCAATTGACAAAACTTGTCTCCTTGTATGGCTCAGTCCTTTAAAATTGCTTTTCGCGTTATTCTCTTTGAGGATTAAATCTTCTTGGGAAGCTGACGTGAAAAATTGCTTTGTGTTTGTTCAAAACAAGGGACTAAATTTTCTATGCTTATTTGTTTAGGAGCAACTCAGAAAATTTTGCGACAATGAAAAACAATTATAGTTTAACAAAATTAAAAAAAAGTCTTGGCACAAGAAAATGAATCTGCCTTTTTGACACATTTGCAAGAAATTGTTTGAAAAAGTCACCCTGGTAGCTTTCTGTTACTTACCTTCAAAATTCTTGAAATGGACGTGGTATTAATTCCAAGGGTTGCTGCAATTAACCGATTATCAATTCCGCAATTTTCACTAAAAGCCGCCTTCACAGCCGCCACTTGGGGCGAGGAATGTGGCGACTGTTGATGGAAATGATGGAATATCTTTGGAAGACCAGGAGGCAACCCTTGGAATTAATGCGATGTGAATTTCACGAATTCTAAAAGAGAACCTTGGCTGCATCAAGAAAATCTGCAAAAATGGCGCCTAATCTTTTTGCGTGAAGAACAGAAAGCAGCTAGGGTGTCTTTTGCAACATTAAAAAATGTCAAAGAGGGCTGCATTTTTTTTCCTGTGCCGAAGAGAATTTTCTGAATAATAATTGTTTTCAGCTTAATAATATGCCATTTAAATTTGTATTGCGAGAACTTTTGTCAGACCCCTTGTATGATTTTTGTGTGTCGATTGTTGAAGAAATGGTCTTCTTTTTCTTATGAATGGGATGTTTTAAAATTGCTTCAGTTCAAGTTGACGATTTAATGGAGGATATCAGTCTGATTGAATGATCCTTGCCAAAGAAGGGGCGTGTGTGGATTTTTCAAGGTCTTCTAGATGCTAATAACTGGCTGAAATGAAAAACAGTTTTTGTTGTCTGTTGTGGATGAAGAAAAGTAAGGAAAAGTAAGGATAAGCCAGTTTTTTATCTGCATCTAATGAGAGTGTGTGTGTGGATGAATGTTGTAGTCATATCAACAACTACCACGTACAACACTCTCGGTGTAACCCTCTTAGGCTAATGTATTTCTGCTATGCTTGGCTGTGCCTGGTGCGCTAGCAATTATATTTCACAATCCCATTGTCAACAGAATACTTTCCCAACTGCACTCACGCTTCTTTCCTTTTAAAGAAACGAAGTGTGATGCCCTCAATCCAAATCAGTTTCTATGTGCATTTCTTGACCTTGGCCAACCAAGGCTATGTATACAGGTGCATTTGATGTTGAGTCAAGTTTACCACACCTGACTCGGACCAGACACCTTTTTGACATTGCTTTGCTCTGCAACAATCGTATTTTATCTAGTGTGTGAAAGATAAAATAAAACATACTTGATATACTCTCATGGAGTAACTTTTGCGTTTCCTTTGGAAGTTGCCGAAAACAATTTGAACCTCCAACTCAATGTCTTAACTATAACAATAAGGTACAACAGTGATTGATCACCACAGACCCTTTAATTGTTTTAATATTTGTTTGGACAAAAATGTGTTGAAACTTTCTGAAAAATCCTTTTATATTTGAATTGAAGCCCCATGGAAAAAAAGAAGATGGATACGACCCCCTTCTGATAAAGGAAAAAAAAGTTTTGTGTCTTCTTCTTCCCCCCGTGTGATCTTTGCCTCGAGGGGGTTGACTCGAGACTGACATCTCGGGGTCTTGTCTCGCTGACGCAGTTACTCACTTACTTCCCATCCGCCTCAACAACTATTCTGCTTCTCCGCCTTTTATACATCCGAGTGGAAGCTATATAAAAAAGTTTTTGTGTCCCTTTGGGGCTTTTTTCTTTTTTTTTGTTCGTCAACAGGAGCTGTTGGAAGTAGTGCACGATGTGTTCGAGGTGCAAACGAGCGTGGACAAGTTGGCGGCGCGGATGATGCGAAGGGCGCATCGGCTGATGAATTGCACCAGGGCCGCCGTTTTTCTGCTGGACGAGGCTGGGAATATTGAGCCACAGGTGCGCAACATGTGACGGGCTTCTCTTTATTTTTTTTACTTCATTTTCCTTATTTGTTTTTGGGGGAGAGTCAAGACAGATTTTTCAAGTTTGGTATTACTGTATAAAGGGCAGCAACGTTTCGGTCGTGTCACAGTCACAGTACAGCAAAAGCTTTTTGCGAAAAAATTCCAGGGAATCTAGTGGAAAAATTCGTTATGAAAATAAGCATGGTTCTTGGAGCGCGTAAGACTGCAATTCTGTTGGGAAACAGGTGATCGATGCTTTCAAAAAAAATTTCAGAACGGATACGTGAAGAATTCCGCAAATTTGCAACTGCTTTTGATGAAATGATGGAGAAAATTCAAATTGTAGAATACAGTCACCTTATTTCAAGCCTTCCCTTTCACGAATTTTCCGTAAAAGGCTGATTTTTCTGAATTACTGTGTAAGCCGAAATAAATTGAAAATAAAAGCTTAAGAAGAGTATTTATTCATTTGGAACTTATGTTGACTGAGATGGAACAGTGTCCTCCAGAATATATTTTTCTTTCGAAACGGTAGCCATTTCTAAATTCTAAAAATAAAGCTAAAAAAAATTCTGATCAGAACGTCATGCTTCCCGTTGCGTTAAATTTTTTCTTCGAAAAAGATTGGCTTTATTTTAAACCCCTTATTTGTTTCGAAGGTTTTTCAATTGTGTACGAGTTGGGTTATCCCATGTTACGCTGATGAGTAAAAATGTCTATTGCCCATGCACACATCATCAAGATGAAAATTCGTTACACTGAGATTATGGCGGGAATTAGTTTGATACAACGAAATGTTTATAACATTCTCTGTATGAATGTACTGCCGAGACCAGGAGACGGTTGTCTTTTGAAGGTGATCCTCGAATTCACTTTAAAAGCTTGAAAATTTCCCTATTTTGCGAAACTTTTTGAGCAATTCAAATTTCCGTTTCAATTCAAATTTCAAATTTCCGTTCTCGTATGATTTTTTGCATTTTGTTGAAAAAGATTACAAATGTTTTTATTGTATATTTTTGATTTTGAATATCCGCGGGGTAAACGAAATTACTGTTCCGTTAATGGAACCTTTGTTCTACACGTTCGATTCCCTGCTTTTGATCCCGGATTATCGGCGATAGGAACATTGGTATGAGAATTTTCTAGGGAATGTGCACTTTCTCCACAAATATTTTCTCTGTACTTTATAACGACTTTTTTTTGGTGGTATCATAAGGTTCTCTCCTTATGTTAAAGGCGTTCTCTTTAACGAAGTTTTTCTACTCCGTTGAATTTCGTTATATAGAGAGTCCACTTGCATTACTTGCACTTGATTAAATTTGGTTAAACTCTTTCTCGGTATGTGTATCTCAAGTCAATGGGAATTGAAGTTTCTGACGAACCTTGAGAATAATCATCTACTTATTTTCTGTTTTGCCGTTTTTTGAGACTGGCTCGTTTAAAATTCGGTCTTCTAATGCAATCTTCCCCAACCTTTTTGGGCCCACGGATCGGTAAATTTCCTTAACTTTTCTTGCGGACCGGCAAATTCCCCTAAAACTTTCTGCGGACTGGCAAAGTTTCATGAAAGTTTTGCAGACTAGAAAAAGTTTTGCTTGAAAGACTCCATGGCAGGTATTCAAAAAGTTTCTGCTTTTTTTTTGTAGCGAAAATTAAGAACTAATGAAGCAGCTATAGTCTTCGAAAAATTAGGAAAGTGGGCTTGAAGAAAGGTTCGCAGCATGAAATGCTGAAATTTGTTGAAAGTACTAAGAGAAAAGTCAACTTTAATTTTTTTTATCAGATGATTTCAACTGCCATTGTCTTTCCAAAATTTCAGATATAGGTAACAGACTTCATTGCCAAATTTGATAAATGTATTTTTCTGTGGAAAACTTTCCGCGGACCGGCAAAAAAAAAAAAAAAACTTTTGCGGACCGGCGCCGGTTCGCGGACCACGGGTTGTCAAACACTGTTCTAATGTGCCATCTGAAAATTTCAGGCAAACGCTGTGGAGTTCTCGAAAGTGTTCCACTCCGTATCCCCTGGACGCACTGGCAAGTCTGTCTCCTGTCATCAGGACCAAGTTTTGGACAAGATCGCGGGTTCAACCGACGTCGGCGGCGGCGGTGCTAATGCAGAAGAGTTGCGACGATTTGCAGAACAAGTGGCTGTGTCGGGACAGGCGTTGAATGTTCGGCGTCGGGCCGGGTGTCAAGTGAGCAGTGGCGGCAGCGATGGTGCGAGTAGCGAACCCAGCGAAGATCCCGGCGCCAGTCCGCCAATCAACATTCCTGCTGACGAATCCTGCGTTGTGGCGGCTGCTGCTGCTGCTGCGGACATGAAGAAGAATGTCTCGGTGGCGTCCAGTGTCGGCGGTGAGTCATCTTTGACCAGCGCCGCCACGCGAATCCGGCAATGGAAATTGACTTGGACATACGAGGAGTTGTCCCAGTTGGACGCGACCTCTGATATATTTTTAAAATAGGTGTGATTGTGAGAAGAAAAATCGTGACGCTGCACAGGCTATTTCAAAGACGCGTTAACCAACCTTTTTGATTTCGCGGACCAGCAGACTTCCATAGAATGTTTTGCGGACCAGCAAATTGAAAAATAAAAAATAAAATCTGCGGACCGGCAAAGTTTAATGAATTTTATGCAGGCTCGAACAAGTTTTGCTTGAAAGACTTTATGGCAGCTATTTAAAATGCGTTTGATCATTGCAAAAAATAAGTTAAGAACCAATGAAGCAGCTACAGTTGCGTCGAATGGCTTCAAAACATTGGAAAGGCGAGTTGCAAGAATGGTTTCTCAGGATGAAGAATTAAAATGATATATTTCAGCAGGTGAAAATTTGTCTGATGTGTTATTCAGAGTGAAGCAAACGTTTATTTTTCTTTAGAGGATTTCAACTGCCATTGTCTTTCTGAAATTTCAGATAATTAGAAAACAGACTGCATTGCTACTTTTGATAAATTGATTATGCTGATGAAAACTTCCCGTAGGCCAGGAAAAAACGTCTGCAGACCTGCGCTGGTCCGTTGACCACTGGTTGGGAACACTATTCTAAAAATCTGGGATTCTGAAGTTCTGGAATTATTTTCAGATTTTGAGAAAAGGCTATCAAGTTACTGCATGATTATGAGTGAAACATTTCCAGTGACAGGCAAGAGTGTCCATACATGTCATGGGGTTTTAAAAATTGTTCAGGCCATATTGAAAAAAATTTGAGATATTTTCTTTTTGTACCCATTAATTTTTCTGAATTTTAGATATTAGTTACCACACCAACAGAATGCAATTTTTTCAGCTAACCTGACAAAATTTCAGCAACCATGTACAAATGCACACAAGAGTTTGAAAGGGAATGAATGTTTTTGCTGATTTGGGAAACAGGAAAACAGTCCTCCAAGGATGAAAAGCAGCAACAGGATTTTGGTAATAAAATACAGCCTTGAAGGTCCAGAGAGAAATGTGAAAACCAAGGTCTTTCAAGATTTTCACTGAGGTGAAGATTCAACTGAGAAATAGGGTTCTCAGATTCCGCATGACAAATTTAATGCTGCCATTTATTTTTGCGACAATGCATGGGTGGAGAACTCTGGCTGTAACTGGAAAGGTTTTCCCATATCATCATGCAGTTAATTTAAAAACTTTTTTAAAAATCCGAAAAAAAATCCCAGTAGAACATCATCGGCTATGTCATGATATTTTCTCAACAAGTACACCTACTCTTAAAAATATCCGAGGTCGTGTCCAACTGGGACAACTCTCGTATGCCCCGTTTTGCTCATTCCGCGTTGTGATTACTGTACCTTCCCGTGAGCGACTGATCAAAAGACATTCCGAGTCAGTTGGTCGGAACCTGTTCGTGTCTGGTTTGTCATTATAGTGGAGAAGACTGGGGTTTTTGTTTGTTCTCTTTGTGATGTGTCTTTAGTTCTGTGCTCGTATCCAGTGACCTTGTGGCAATATGCATAAGTACCCGTATTTACTCGAGTACCACGCGCACCACAGTTTTTCGGTCAACATTTTGTATAAACTTGTATCCTTCGAGTAATACATGCAACCGATTCTTACTGACCCTAAAATTTCAATATTTTAAGAGTATGAACAACCAAATTTGAATTCAGAATGAATTGATCATGATTTCATGTAATTTTCAATGCAATAAGTTTTTCTGCTTTAAATTCGTCGAGAATTTCCGAATCAAAAACGGTTTGATGAACGCTTAAACTTTTATGATTAAAAAAATTATACCCGCCACGCCCTTTTTCGTCTGAATATTGAGAAAAAAGTGCGATCGATACTCGAGTAAATGCGGCATTTGCGTTGAAGTCCTGCGAGGAATTCGCAATAAAATGCAGCTAATCGCGATTAGTCGTAGTCGGAGGTTTCCCTGTCGCGAGAAAAAGTAGAAGGAAAGACCTGCCCTGAGGGATGACGAAACTTGTCGCATAAAATTCTTCGGTCCATCTGTTTCGGAAGCGAGGAGGTCGCATAATATCGGCAGCGGTTCGTGTTCAACGAATGCATCTTTTGTTTTTTTGCAGATATGCTGTTTCTTGCTGGTGAGACGAGCGTTGGTCGGTCGGCACGGGCGCCTAATTTGGTTCCGAATGGCTCCAACCAGTCGTCGATTGAATCAGTGTCAATCACGACTCCGTTGCCAGCAAGTGTGTGGGGCCTCATGGCGATGCCCATCAGGAATGCGAGAGTGGAAGTCATTGGCGAGTAGTAGTAGTAGTTAGGTGTTCATTACGTGTGATGGGGATGGTTCATAAGTTTTCCGCCTAATCGGCATTTAATTTTTCGTTTCTGGAAAAAATTGTTTTCTGTCGCATCAACGTCTCATGCACTGGTTTGCTCGCAGTATTTTTGCACGACCTTAATTTTGGACACGCGTCAAGTTCCTTTCTTTTTCAAGCTGAAGCGGCGAGATCCAACTTTGACTTGATTTTGCGATTAATCGATGAAAATAAATTATCATCTGTTGTACGACAAGTGCCGAGGCCGAAGAAAATTTGAAAATTTAGTTGAGCCTTGATGAATCGAACCTCCCCAAGTAAAATACCTCCCTATGTCAAATTTGTTTCGAGTCCCAAGTATGAACTCCCTGAGAAACAATGTATGAATAACCCCTAACTTAAAGGCCTTCCTTCTCAAACATTCGGGGCAAGAATTTTCTGAAAAAATGTAACTGATGTGTTTTGAAAGGAAGTGAAGGACTGATTGGGTAAATAAACCCTAGCCTCCAAGTTCAGCATCCTGACAACTCATTTCTTCTTCAGTTCAATTCCGTTTCTTCGAATAAAGCACGAACTTTATTTTCCTTCAATTCTTCATACAGTATGTACTGTATTTCAATAAAAAAAATAGCTGTTTCAATCGCCCGAAATTTTTCGTTCGTACCTTAAAGATGTTCGACTGTGATAAATGCCGGAGTTTGAAAAGTTATAAACCATCTCTCGCACTTCTCGAATCTCCTTCTAAGAGGTTTGTCTGATTTCTGTGGCAAGTAAAGAAAATACGTATAGTGCCCATAACTTGACATGATGTAGTACTTTTATCGATTCTGTACTCGATCTTTCTTGAAGTCTTCTCATGTGTCAGAACATCCTGCAGAGACGTATGACTTATCTGAGGTCACATTTGAATAGACCAGAAAAACAGGTTTTTCTCCGGGTGATATTTTTCATTTTTTTGCTTTCTAGTGTCCGAGAAAAGGTAATCTTAAGGAAAGAGCGAATGATTGAAAATTATCATAACGCTGAGGAATCTCAAGATTCTAACCGATTTAACGGAAATCAGCTATCCCTCATTGATTCGTTTTTGTGTGTGTGTGTGTGTGTGTGTTTTTTTAATTTGTGTGTCTCGTTTAGGTGTGGCTGTAATTTGTAACAAGAACGCGGAGGAATGCTTCGATGAGCAGGACGAGCGGTGGTTCGAAGTAAGGTCAAAGGCCCGTGTTTGCGCCCGAATTATAGTTTTGTTGAAAAAGTTTGTCGGCCGAGATGAAAGAAAGGCGAAGTTGTGCGTAATGAGAGCGTACGGGGTGGTCTTGTTCCTTTGCTTTTTCCTGCTGCTTGCTTCTTCATCTTCGTCGTCGTCTTCCCCGTTGGATTTTTCGTCGAGGCTTTCTGCATCTTCAGCGGCCTGGGGCTCAACAATGCGACCATGTACCTGCAAGTCAGCCGTGCTGTGGCCCGACAGACCGTGGCTTTTGAAGTGAGAAGCGAGAAAGCTTGAATGAAACTAGCCAGGGCCTTCTCAACTTTTTTTTGTTTCGAGAAATTATTATTTTTTAATTCCTGAGTCTTTCTAAAATTTTCTCAGGAGACGTGCATTTTATACATCTCACTGAAGTTTCCGAGTTTTTTAATAGAGAGTCCATTGCGAACAATTTTTTCATCTGATTTTGTGGTTGTTCCTTCAAGTCTTCGTTTTCTCTGTAATCCTTAATTCTTCCTAAACAATGTATCCTACGACACACTCATTTACGTCGCACAGAAGTTTCCGAGTCGTTCGTTCGAGTCTATTGCCCAGAATGTTTTGCTGTGGTTTCATCGTTGTCCCTTCAAGTCTTCGTTTTCTATCTAATCCCCGTTATTGTTCATTTCTTTCTCATCTCTTTCATCACCTTTCACTCATAGTACCAATGTACCACTACTGTATCGAAAAAGTTGGGTTCTGTCGTACGAATTGCTTACCTGATCCTTTGCGGGTTGAAAAGCTCTGAATTAAAATGACGGATGTCGATTTTGAAAAATCTTGATGTGCTTCTTTTTCAAGGCTCTGGCGTACCATGCGACATCTTCTCCGCGAGAAGTGGAACGCTTTCTGGTGAGTGGAAATGCAAATGCCTGAAATTTAATAAAAGAATTGGCTGTTCTTCGTGATCAATCCATTGAATGGATTTTGTGAGCGTTAATTGTTTTCTATTTCTCAAATGTAAAATGTTGAACCCCTCAAGCGCGAACCTGACTGAAAATGAACTAACCAAAGTTAAAATAACCTATAGTCTGACCTCTTCAAATGGAACGTAACTAGTACAGTACGGTCAAAACTTTTTTGAATCGACATGCATGGGACCAAAAAAAAAAGATTTTAATGAGGGAAACAAGCTTTTTTTCGGGAAAAAGCAAGAGTTATTTAAAATTCTAATCAGGGATTTTATATGCGACTTTAACGAAAGATGTACTTTACTGTCTAACGATTTAAACATCCGTTCCCAAGTTAACGGTTAATCAGAAAGTGAAGGAAGTTTTTATTCGAAACAAGTTAAAAATAACGAAAAGAGAAAGGACAGTCAATAAAATGATCTCCAAAATGCCTCCAGAAAATTTCAGTTATGGATGTTTGAGAGGGAAAGTCTTTGAGTCAAGGGGGCTTTTCATACATTTTCTCCCGGAGAATTCAGACTGGGACTTCAAACAAATTTGACATAGGGGATGTATTTGATTTAGAGGAGGTGGAATTATTGAGGTTCAACTGCATAAACCAACTTAACTTGAACCTCGCAGAGTTTGAGCGACACCTATGTGATGGTACATGCAATGGAGTGCCTTGAGCTACTGAATTGGAAGAACCAACATTTGCCTAAATGTTTTGTAAAAATATTAACAAGTTTGTTGAATGTTCGAATTGAAATACTGTATCTAGTAAACTGTATTTCTTATTTGCTCATATTGTGCGCATTTTCCCGGTTTGTGAACTTCGACGGATTTTCTTCTTCACTTAATTGTAATTTATGTCTGTTGTGTGTTCCTCGGATTATTGTTGCTATATTTTTCGAAGTCCATGGAACTGCCAAGTATCGAAGAATGGAACCTAAACGCTGTGGACTTCGATGACTTCAGCCTTGACGCGGACCAAATGGTGCTGGCTGCAGTAGCCATGTGTCAAGATCTTGGATTGCTTCGCCGATTTTTAATCCAGCCC